TACCTTGAAGAGTGGAACAAAGTCTAAGCTTAGAGCAAGTTATTATATATTTAAAATCACATTTATTGTCCAGTCGCCAAATAAACACAAATATGAAGTCTGCCATTCTTGACTGTACAAAATCCATTACTATTCTGGAGGGATTAAGAAAATCTGCTTATTTAATTACCAATTTAGCAGTTCATGTATGACACGAAATCATGCAAGAAGAGACTGTATAAGGTTTCTTATCCTTTATTTCAATTTGAACCTTGAAAAAAGTCCACCTTATCTAAGATTCTTTAAACACTGTTTTAGCTCATTACCTAAAGAAACTTTACAATAAAAACCTTGGGCAATGTCCATGATAAAAGATACCTGCTGAAATTCTCCCCCCCAGCTCAAGTCCAATAGCCATGCAAAATATATCATCTTACTATGGGAAGGGAAAAGATAGAAGAATGTCTGAATGTACCATAATCTTCAAAGTAGTTATCCTCACAGCAACCCTGTTTTATTTTACTGGCATTTAGTAAAATGCATTAGGTCTTTGGAGCAGGGGTCACAAGCCAGGTAAGTGCTAGTTATATTCCTATTCCCCTGCCCTTGCCCAATAAATGTACAATTCTTTTTTTCAAAAGTAGAAGTTTCAAACAAAGGGGTGGGGGGGAATAAATAACCTATGGCCTGCTGGTTAGGGGAGATAGGGGCATAAACCCTCTCCTCAGGGGAATGAAGGAATATAACTGATATGGCTTGCCTGGCCTTCATTCTGTGCCAGTCTTATTCCAGGATCTAAAGCAGCGGTGTCAAACTCCTTTGTCTCCCTGGGCTGGATTGGGACCATGGGGCTCATCAAAGGCTGGATCTAGACCACAAGGAGCTAGTAGGTAGATCTGGACCCACCACCTGGAACAGGGTGAACAGCAGCAGCACTGTTAACCGCTACATACTCCTGAACTGTGGGGATTAATATACCTTCCACTTGCCTCTCATATGCATCCCCAGTGGGGCTCGGAATTTGGTGGCAAGCACCACCCCCTGCTTGCCGTGCCCCTGAATTCCTGACCCCTACATGGCATATTTTTTACACCGCTGCTCGAAAGCCCCTGAGCTCTATAACTATTTGTCATGACAATATTTTAACTTTCCATATTGCATTTACTCTCCTGCATTCTAAGAAACTACTATAGCTCTATGGCTATTGTATGAGTACCTCCATGATTACCATCACCACCTCCTCCTCTTTCTCCTATCCATTTTAAAAAGAAAAGTAGTCCACTCCTTAATTTTTAATGGAAGTGGCTTAGTCACCTACCTCCAAAAGAGGGTTGAGGGCCATGAATCTTAAAAGCATGGCAACACGTTCATCAGCCCAGTTTGGTGCCTAAGACCCACCTTCCCCAAAAAAAGAAAAACTGTACTATGTGAGACACTTTTAACTGCTTGAGACAGCTCGTCACTCAGTGTGCTAGATGCTGTGAATCCTCACTGAGGTACTAGCTGTTCTCACACATTATAGAGGGAGTTAGGGCCTTTAACACAGGTGTAGGGATTCCATTAGAGGCCAGGATCCCTGAAGATTAGGTATAAGAATACACACCATCATGATGCTGAAGTCTCTGTGAATTTGCCTATGGTCACAAAGGGAGTCTGTAGCAGGTTAGGGATTTAAACCCAGGCCATCTAAAGTCCAGATCCTGCAGACTTATGCCTGTGCCTGTGTGTAGTCCCAGTGACTGTAAGCATGTCCCTTCTGTATTTGAAAGCTCAGCGCTGAAATCAGACACTCAAGCAGCCACAAAACTTTCTTAAAATTACTCCTACAAGTTCTCTGAGAACCCTTGCCATTCCATCCTTGTAGATGCCCCATACAAAACGCTCATATTAAGGTATCCTTATAAAAGAATGTAACAATTTTTGGCATATATAAGAATTTATGTTTCATTGCTGTCTAACCATTTGACAAAAGAAAAAAGCAACTCATTCTCTCTGCAATGTTGCTTTGGCGTTATGTGTGTGTACACATGTAAGGAATTAAAGGAATTAATTAAACATTTTTGAAAGATCTAAAATGACAAAAGCATGGGAATACCTTCAGCAGTCCAGAGTTTGTTGCCTAAGCACTCCCTCCCTCCCCCCAAAAAACCCTGTACTATACCAAACACTTGACTACCTGAGACAGCTCCTCACTCAAGTATGCTAGATGCTGCAAATCCTCACTGAGGTACTAATGTTAATTAAATTGTTAATTTTGCCACCGCAGATAATGAGAGAAAGAGAATGAAGTTTAGTATAGTGGCCCTGCTGTAAACTAACTAACCATTATAGACTTTTCTTGAAACATGAGCACATAGGGTCATGACTCAGCAAGGTAATAAAGCATGTGGCAAGTTCAGTTAATGCATTATCTTATTTTACTGAATCAGTCATCATGATAAAACTACAGCAGTTTTACCATTTATGAGTTAGAGACACGTTATCAAGGTCAGTTGTTTATTACAAAACGTGGCCGGCTTTCTTGTACCTCTTGGCAAAGTCCTCTGCAGAACCATATGCAAGGAATTTCTAAAAAAGGGAATGCTTCAATAATAAACTCTGAATAAGTGCCATCAACAAACCATTCATAATAAATCCTATACCAGCACCAAGCTGATGAGGAAATCATAGCTTTAAACTATGTAAATTTTTAACACAAAAAGTCAATAACAATAATAGAGAATAGTATAACATATAAGGAGTGCCCTTTTGGCTGAAATGAGATGACCAAGCCACCAATGGCAGACTCCAAAATTTCCACAACTATAATTTTTAGATGCAATTTTTATATATAAGAGTTATATGAACAGTAATTATCAGTCTTACAGGATCTTTCATTACACCCACACACTTCTTGTATTCAAGTTAATAGGGTTGGGTTTTTTTTAGCATAACAAAGGGTTGAATTTGAACCACAGATAAATGATAGGAAATAGATCTGCACTTTGCTACCATTTACACATTCATTGAGGTATGTCTCTATTATCAAGACATTTTCAAAGGCAAAAGAAAGAAATCTATTTATAAATCAACCTTAAATTAATATAATAAAAATAGCCAGAATCATGCCAGCATATATACAAATACATGCATAACAATAGTTTTCCCCACTATTTACATTCATGTAATCAAAGTCATATATGAAAGATCTGTTCATCTGTCTGGCAGTTATGTTTCTTCAGTAAAAAAAAACAAATTGTTATATACAGTTTTTGTCAGGACAGTGTTCCAACCATTCCTATTAATAACTCATTTAACCCCAGATTCAGTAAAGCACTTGAACACACTCCTGAAATCAACAGATCTACTCCTATGCTTAAAATTAAGAATGTGCTTAAGGGCTTTTGTTAGAGTAGAGCCAGCAGGTGAAGAGCATCAACTCCCAATGGTATTCTGCAGAAACCAAGACCAATTCATATCTTGGATGGGGCCCCAAAACAATGAAATAGGCACACACTATATAAAGCATTATTTTTCAAACTCATGGGTTCATGTAAGCGTGCAAAACGTAAGTTGTGCCTTCACTCATCTGATATGCATGAGTGCTACATAAGATTCCAGTGAGTTCAGGTGTGGACATCAAAACACTTACATTATAGGGCTGTGAGAAGCTTTGGTCGCTGATTCAATTCAGAGGAGATTCGGCCCAATTCAGCGGCTGAATTTCCAAATCTGAATCGAATCACGACACCCATTACTCTCTCCAAATCAAATCAGAAGCCTCTGATTCGATTCAGGAAGATTTGATGATTCAGCCATAGACACAGCTGTGTATGTTTTTGCTACGTACCTCAAAGTACCAGGCACAGCTCATGAACGCTGAGATGGCGAAGCAGATGGAGCGTCCCATGGGAGCATGGGGGAAAGATTCCCCACACGTTCAGCAGCAGACCCAGAAGTGGACCAGAAGTACTTCTGGTCCACTTCCAGGTCCGCCGCGGAGCACACAGGGGACTCCCCTGCCCCCAGGCTCGGCAACTGGTGCCTCCTGGGTCTCGGGGGGCACTTATCACCGAGCCAGAGGAGGGTGCAGGGGGATCCCCTGCACGCTTGGCGGTGGACCCAGAAGTGGACCAGAAAAACTTCCGGTCCACTTCCAGTTCTGCTACCAAGCGCGCTGGGAACACCCCCACGCTCCCATGTGATGCTCCATCCACCCCACCATCTCAGCATTCACCAGCCATACCTGGTATCTTGAGGTACATAGAAAAAACATATAAAGTTGTGTCTAGGGCTGAATCACTGATTCTCCAAATCAGAATCAAATCTTCAGATTCGGCCAAATCAAATCGGAACAGTGATACACATCAGTGAACAAAATCACTGTCCCCTGAATCGGGCCGAATCTGAATCAAATGCTGCCTGCTTCGCACACCCCTACTATATTAAGTCTGCAATGTACAAGCTGCTTATAAGATAAATATTAACCCATTTTACAGTAAGTGTGCACTATTAAAATCTAGGAAATTGGCCTTATTTTATTAAATTCATTTCTAATAGCCAAGATTTCTGCACATGCTGGGAAAGAGAGAGGGAGGATAAAAACATTCATCTATCATGCACAGTTGACATTATTATGGTATTTAATACAAAATGGTTGAAAATTGTGTGCAGTCAATAGAGAATGAAAAAGCCCTATCTTCAATTATAAAACCCAACAGTTAAAGAGTCACTGCTCCCCTATATTTGGATAGTAAAAAAAAATGTAAGAACTTTTTCTTGCAGAATAAATGACAAGTTGGTTAAAAAAATCCCAGACCTGACTGAAAGGGCTTTTAAAATAATTATTCACTTAAATATTCTTAAGCACTTAACCAGTACAGGAACCCAATTTCAACAAGGTAACTCCAATGAAATGTTAAGCAAAAAGGCAGGTCATTGTTAGGGATAAAGCCTGGGGAGGGGGTGACAGGGAGACTTCATTGTTTTTTTATTAGTTCCTCATTTTC